TGTATATCGTAGTGTAGATATTGTTTTGTGCTATCTATACAGGTAAATTATGTTGATGTATGACTTATGCAAATAAAGTAATTAAGTAAAACGTGAGATAGTAATAGAACAAATTCATGTAATTGAGTTGCGCAAGCGCGCGAATGGCGCGGCTCACTTTCGCGTATAGCTCTGGGGTAGCTCAGTAAATGAGTTTTATTGCAATTCGTTCGGGAATAGTTCGGGAATCCTTCGGGAATAGTTCGGGAATCCTTCGGGAAATGTTCGAGAAATAAGTACGAAAATCCTTCGGGAAAAGTGCAAGACCAGCAGTCAATAAGAAGAAAGAAAAAGTGTAGGGAAGTGATAGGGAAAAGTAATTACTCTCTCACGGAACGGTTTGAAGATAATTGCGGTTTTATTCCCAAGAAATTCATCCCTCAAAATTATACAGTCCACATCGAAGAATTAAGGCGTTGGGACCGGGACGACTTCGGAAGACCCGTAATCCCCGCCTGAATCTGTTTGCTGAAAAGGAAGAGGTTATCGCCCTTGATATATCTTTGAGGAAATAACTATATCACGGCTTTAATCATTTGACTGCGACAGATACACAGGATACGTCCTAAATCATATCATAATCACAAGATAATATGCTGTTTAATGATAAAAAGAAAATTAAAAAAATCAACAGTGTGGTGTGGACAAATTAATTAATTTTATATTTAAGTACCTAGCTACCTAGGTGGGTGCACTGCATAAAGTCACATATTATTATGAAAGGGCAGAATAAAGTCTGCCGGGTTTAGCGGTGCTGGTAAAGTTTTTAACCAACTTCAAAATGAGGAAGCTGTCCTCAATTATATGTGTTATTTTTTATATTTTTTTGTATAAAATACCTATATTACACGAACAAACAAAATTTAATTTAATCCCTACAGACGAAAAATGGGAGATGTACTGTGAACTATCGATGCCAATGTGATAGGATTTGAGGTCAGTATGCAGCGTCATAAACACGAGAATAGTCGTAATGCAACCAAACCAGAACGATGAATTTAAACCCTTGTACCTATTGTAAAGAATTCTGTGTTTGTGCACAAAAATGTTAGGCCTTTTAACCGACTTCAAAAAAGCGAAAGTTATAATTTCGACTATAATCGTTTATTTTAATGATGTAACATTTGTAACACGATATTATTTTCTACTATACCTTTTGTTTAATTCCAGTTTTCAGTGATACCTTATAAATTACAGCCAGATCTAAAGTATTTTTATGTTTTTCTTAAATTAATTCATTATATGCACTTGTGCGAAATCCTAGCAAAATTAAACTCAATTTTTCTTTGATATTAATACAACTAACAAATATTTATATATTAAAATAATAAGTATTTTTTTTACTTACCATAAAAATAGTTTCGAGAAAATATTAGCTTTATCATGGGGATTTTTGTTCTTTAAAACAACTTTTGAATCCATGATTGCACTTTGAAACCAATGGGACACCAAACGTTGGTTAGCGAAGTATTTTAATCTCGAAAATGATCTTAACTGAATATTTCAAAAATATTTAACAGTGAAGAAGAGTTTACATTCTACAATAATTCATTTGTTGCAAGCCTCTTTTTATAAAAATTGTACCTATATAAAAACTAACAACTCGATTCTTCAGTTTCCGCACGGCCGCTTAGCGGAAATAATACCATAAATATGTTCACTGTTTATAGCAGAGCAATATCACGATAATTCGTATCGCATTTATAACTGCATATTAAACTATTAGGTATTAAAAATTTAATTCGTTATATATAACTTAATCACAATATCAATAATCATATAATCACAGATTTTTATTACATAACACTAAATCGGTCCCACGAAAATCACTCCAGTGCACGTATGTCTTACGCCGCTAAATAACACGCACTGGCAGAGTGGCTGAGTGGCAGAGGCAGACTAGCACACAACACACATTTCTCAGACATGCAAGACAGACAAGCGCCGGGCAGCGGGCACCCGACCAATCGGTACATCGGAAATCAGAACAGCATGAGTCAGTAAATTAAGAGGATTGTGAAGCTGTAAATATTCATACAAAAAGCGATAACGTTTTCCCGCCAGTAAACATAGTCTGATTTTCATAATTTTTGGAAATGTTGTAGATATAACAAAAAACTAGGTTTGTACGTTTTAATTTGAAAGAAATATTACGTATGCTATAAGTTATTAGCATCTAAATATCTATATTTTTGACTTAAAAATTTCCTCGAGCGTTTCTATTTTTCTTAATTAAATTAAACTGATTTACTAAAAAAAACGTACAGACCTAGACTAAGGTGTACTGAGTCTAATGAGATCAAAATTATCTCATTTCGTAAAGGTTTAGGGGGGTAAAAATGTTATGGCCCGAAACAATATTTGAAATATTGTTTCGGGCCATAACATTTAAGAATAACAATAAAGAAATGTAGGCAATTGCTTCCAAGACTTGCAACTCTCTCTATCGCACGATACGGATCGGGAGGCAAGGGCATACACATACTGCTGTAGTTGTGGTTTGTTGTTATTGGATGTTGGAGATTTTATCGATATACATATTATACGTATAGACTTGACGGCTACGTGGCGCAGTAGCTCAATAATGAGTTATAGCGCTAAGGGCCGCGGGTTCGAATCCCGCACGGCACAAGTATTTGTATGGCCTACAAGTAATTGTTCCGCGTCTGGATGTTTGTCCTTGTTTAAATTATGTATGTAAAAACTGCCTCCACGATACAGGAGAAAGTCTTAGTATGGGAGTAACGTAAAAAATAATAATTAAAAAAGATATTATCATAGCCTAGGGAGAAGAAAGTAATATCGAAAACCTACACAAATAATACTTATGAAAAAATTGATATCTGTAAATAACTTCATTAGGTATTTAGTCTCTTTATTGAATATGGACTGTAACTTAAAAAGATTTCGAGATTACACTTAAGGGGAAATATAACCTCTAATGGCTTAGCAAGATCCTCCGTTATGCCGAAAGTATTGCAGCATTAATTTTGAAATAAATATATGGTAAAGTTGAGGATTAATGTTAAGGACTATGTTAGACGAAAACACGATTCCGTTAAATTTTCTCGATAGAAAATCGATAAAAAATCCAAAGTTACCCCCAAACTGAACAATAAACCGCTGTTATTCATAAAATATCTTAAATAAGATCATGAAACTTTGCATACTAACTGAACTAACTATAAAGCAGTGCTTATGTTATTTACTTTTTTTAAAATACCATTATTTTCACTGTAAAAAGAAATTACCTAAACTATCGGCGCGTAAGCTTGATTCCTATGCTACTGTCGCCCCTATATTCCTAATGTTAGTATCGCTTAGGCTTTTGAAGGGAGAAGTTGTGTCGCTTACGATCAGAATACACATTACGCAACAGGACGACGTAAAATTCTGTGCCTCCTGTGATAGGTGATACAAGTGAAAAATCATCATTTTACAAGAGCGCAAAAACAAGATTTAAAAAATTCTTGTTCGTGAACTAAGTGGGCTAGGTTAAATTTGAGTAGGTATCTCCTTTTGTAGAGTAAAATATTCTCTTTCGCTTAATATTTTAGTTTTTTAGTAAATATATTTAATTTTTAAAATAAATCATGAAAACCTGGGAGTTGTACCTTTTATTATGTGTATTATGTGCTAAAATTATGTGATAAATGATACTTGTACAGTTATATTACGTTGAACCTATAAGTTATCATTGTGTAAACTGATATACACGAAGTTAAAACATATAATAACTCATCAGGATAATGATCCTAGCACAATATTCTTCGAACAAAAGATAAAGATATAACCGTTTAGATTTCCTTTTTTTTTCTTATAAGTCGCCTATTTACAATATTTACCTGAATTGTATCAGAATACTAAAATCCTAGTATTTTAGAAGATGTGTTAAATGATAAAAGCCGAGATATACCCATCAGCAAAAGATATATGGATTGTGTAAATAAATACAAGTTTCAGAAAAATAATCAACGTTTATTAAACTTTTTCCAAATGAATAATTCACTCAAATTCAAGACACAAATTTATCAAAATTCTTAAAAAAAGTAAATTGAGATCAAATAATCACGATTTAACAATACGAATGCAGCTTAACTCTTCTCAATAGGAACTTATCATTTGTACAAAAGTTAGCAAGTAATTTTAAACTTAAAATCTAAGAAATGACACAGATCTAACTTTAGGTATCATGATAAGCAATATTTACCTACTACAAAGTATCACAATCATGTCTTAATCTAAAAATCTAGGAAAATAACAATCAAACAAAATTCTAACACTTCAAACTTTAACAGGTGTTCCATAGAGGTAGATAATAAATTCCACTCTGAGATGGATAACTCGTCTTAAATGATTATAATGTTAACTAAAAAAATACTTATATTTAAATCAGAATTGAACCTCTTTAAATTATTATAATATGCCCACCTGTATGTAGACTAACGTTAACAAAGCAATAAAAAATAACAGTCTTTCGATCTATAAGTTATATGAACCAGAACCTATTCACCATCAGAATCATCGTCATTATCCGCTGGACAGTCTTTGACATCATTTTTGCAGCTCAGACTTCTGTAAAACTCATAAGCGCTCTCATGAATAAAACGTAACAAATTTAATAGATCTTTCTTCTTATCGGTTGAAATAGGAAGTTTAGAGTGGTAAGCTTTCGGTATCATATTAATCGTAAATATATTATCATAAGTTTTCCCCCGTTTCGAACAGTCCATGGTTTCTCTCTCACTCAACATCTTTGAACTCTTTTTTGTAAGAAAAACAGGATATGTTTTATTCGTTATAAAGAACAGATCTAACGTTCAACCACAAAAACTTTTCATTGGCTGTATTCGTTTTCCTAAAAGTAAAAGATTGCTTTACGAAAATGTTAAAATCATAAAACATTTCATGAGTCATTTCGATAACAGTAAACTTGGCTGTATTGTTTGAAGCTGTACATGCTAGTTGGTACCAATCTCTTGGCAAGTGTATATACGCTCAATCAATGCATGGTCGGTGTCAGCCTCCATGTGTGTATGACCGGGTACGAGAAATTTATGTTCAATAAATTGCAATTGTGGGGATAGTCTAGTAACTAGCATTAACATTGTTGTTACAATCGAATTCTTGTTTTGGCCAAAACAAGAGTCCGAGAACATGATCAGCTTCTTAGCGTTTGGGTGTAAGTTTGGTAGTTGATTTATGATAAAATCGTATAAACACGAAGCAATGTCATTAGCCCCTCTATTACCCTCACACTCCGGCCACATGTAACAGAAAGCTTTGTTTGTTTTCAAATCGTGTATGGTCAAATTAAATGTCCACAATTGTCGCTTATAAAATGCAACATTCGTTTGCAAATATGTGGTGGGTAAACATTGTTGCAAATCAAATGTTATGACAGCTACAACTTCGCTCGATTGAGCCAGTTGTTTATTTGCCTTTTTCTCTTCGTAAGCAGCCTTAAACGCCTCTTGATGCTCCTTGAGCGTCTTGAGATTTGTAGCCTGATCCACAAATGCATACTTGAGTTTCATATTGATGCGGTCACATTTTGAACAAGTGTCTACAGATGGCTTTTTGAAGGATAAATTCATGGTTTCAAAGACCTTTTTAAAGATGGTTTTGCTTACTGGAGCATCAGTCTTCAGTTTGTAAAAGTTATAAAGAACTTGAAGGTTGAGCTCGGAATTCAAAAACTTTTTAGTGGTTTTGTTGCGGCCGTAGTGGCTTTCTGTGCAAGGGAAACAAGTAATATGTTCTTTTATTTCCTCTAGTTTGAAATCGGGAATTGACTTACCAACTCGACGTTTACGCTGAGGAAGATGCCCGCCATTGTCTCGTAGTTTTTCGCATACCGTTTGTAGATATTTGTGACTTTCATCAAAAGTCTTCAAGAAACATCCTTTGCAAATAGGATGTTTTGTATGATCAAAACCATGTACAAAGTAGCGAAAGCGTTTTTTTCGGCAGACTTCTATACATTTTGCAATGTATTTAGTTCTATTTTCGTAACTATCTAAACTCCAGTAGTGTTCAACTCAACGTACGCACGCACGCACGCACGCACGCACGACACGCACGCACGCACGCACGGAGCGCATGCACGCACACACGGACGCACGCACGCACGCACGCACGCACGCACGCACACACACCACAAAATTTTTTGGGTTAGTAAAGTATTTTTGTACATTATATTATTAATCTAACTCAAAGAGGTATACGTAAGTACTTTCATAGTTTCCTAATCGTTCATTCTTTCATCATAACTTATTACATAACGGTCTTTCATTAATTTTCGCTATCCCTATTGCACCCAACTGTACTTTTTCTATAACCTCAATCCCAAGAGAATAAACTTTCTTAATGATACATATATATGTAATGCATATCTTTTAATTAGATGCAGATTTTAGCAACTTTCTTTAAATTTTCAGATACCTAGCTGATGGTGCACAGAAGGCAAAAGGGGAGGCGAATGTAATATTACTTGCGAGTGCAAGACTTTTTTTAATGTACGTTTTAAAGAAGAATGAAGAGCGAAGATATAAAGATTTTAAATAGTTTTTTAGAAGGGGTGGATACGTACACATAACCAATTCACGTGGGTACACCTGCACCAACTAAAATGCCATGGTGTTACACGAAAACGCTTTCGCACACATCTGCTGCCTCACCATCGCTAGCAAAAGAGGATACTCTTTTCCATCTTCACCTACTCAGGCAAAGTGCGCCTTCCTACACGGCCACCATCACTAAGTAACCATACTTCCTGACCCCAGTGGCAGATATGGTCTATGGCCACGCCATATACCAAATGTCAACCGCGGAGGGTAGGCAGAGAGATACCCATACTACTCTACCCCGCGGCAAAAGGGTGGCCTTGGGGCACCGCCAGAGACGCGGATTGTAGCCATTTTGTGTTCCGTACGAGAAGGAGGCAAAAGCGAGTTTAGCGCCTCCGCACCAATTACTGAAATGTGATGTGAATATAAGCCACTTAAAAGATGGTTATGTTTGAATATCTGACAAGGACAGTCTCATTAATCTTCAGTCGGTCGGCTTCATGATATTTACAATCGTTGACATTCACGGAATGAAAGCAAAATTATTTTAACATTTTAACACATTATGTAGTATATTTTTCTTCCTTTTAGCTTTGTGAGATGATGATATTCGGAACGACATAGCTTGTGCTCTCAATATTTTTCTTCGTGAAGGTTTTAAATACTGGACACAGTGGGAAATAAGATGCAAAAATGACAATCATATATCTAAAGAAATTTATAAGTAAGTTTCATAATGATTTTCATACTGTCCTCGTAGTACATATCTTTAAATGCTAAATGTAAAAATATATAATATGATATATATATATTTTTTTTCATTATCATATTATGTTTTCATAATTTACTTGTTTATCTTTTCAATTGTTTTATTTTTAAATATTTTATAAGTTGAATTTTATATCACTAAGCCACACTCACATTCCACATCTCTTAAAGAAAAGATGGTCATCTCCTGTTTCATTTTAATTTGCTGCCTGTTTCAACACCCACTGGATAATATGGGATAGTATAATATCTTAAGCACACAGCAAATTACGGCAAGACAGCTGTTTCACAATAACAGTTCGAAATGTTAACTATATTTGACAATACATGTTTGCCAATAAATAGGAGGCTGGAAGTGCCGAGGTATATATATGTATGGTATAGGTATGCCCTTGCAAAAAGAATTCTTTCTTTTTAAAATCATCTTTCCTTCTCGTATTAAACAAAATTTGATCTTTTTTTCAGTTATGGCCTCCACAGGTGGCATATTAGAAGCAGAAATAGGATATTTGACTTCAATTCGAGAGTCATCTGCGATAAGTTCATCGGGACTTGCCCCTAAATAATAATCATCTTAATCAATAAACAGTCCAATAACTATTTTAGTGTAGACAAACTGGAATTATTTGGGCGCAGTTTGCGATTTTGCCAAATTTATGTGCAGTTAGCTTTTTTCTCCGTTCAGTGTGCCATAAATCATTTTCTCTTTGACCTCTAGTAGCCAATTCTAATAATTTTATTTCGTCCTCGTTTTGTTTGCAAAGAAGCCAAAAACTCTTCTTTCTTTTTCTTAAAATCATGATTGGCACTGATTTTTATGTCATTCTTGATGTCTTTAATTTTTTTCCTTTTTAATTTTTTTGATGTTTTCGTTCTTCCAATGTTTCACGGCGCCAACTAGGGTAGACCGTCCTAAAGCCGGCCAGTGCCTAAGGCCGGCCACCGTCACTAAAATCCCTCATAAACTATTTTGCGCTATGCCAATAAGTATTATTTTTATTCTAAAATGACCCTTATTTATCAGCGAAATAATCAAACAAAAGAAGCGACGATAAGTCACTGCTTTCTCACTCATTCGCGACCGGATATCCAGAACGTGCGCTCGTTTTCGATTTTAGCAGAAATTGTTATCTAATCTCGCGTATTCCGCCTTTTGTGAGGTAAGTGTTTTTAAGAGTTTTAAGTGTATTTTGTGTGTTAGCTAATCATATTTTATTTATTTATTGTACTAAGAACGATATTGAAATGCTATTTTCCGTTATAATTCATTGCTTTTATGAAAAAATAGGCCGGGTTTAGGATTAAAAAAATACCGTAAAATATAAAGACGGCATAGGTGGCCGAAGTTAGGGCAGACTGTTGAAGTGGTCAATTCCTAAGCCCGGCCACCCACTGGCCGATTGTACAGAGTGTTCCTATTTATTTTCAGATGGACAATGTCTGAAAGCGACGTAGAAAATAAAGGTAAACGTAAAAAAAAATTTGCAGTATGATCGTACTAAAATAAAGAACGCACTAGAAGCTATCAAAAGCGGTACTAGCGTCAGAAATGCTGCCAAAATTTTTATATCCCACGAACTACATTACAAGACCGAATATATGGACGTGTCATCGAGGAAATCCTCCATGTAGGTAGCGAAATGGTATTGAATGAAAAAGAAGAACAAGTTTTGGTGGATTGGCTCATCCAATTAGCCAAGTGTGGGCTTCCTCGGAAAAAAGCGATCTCATAAACACGATCGAAAAAATTATAAAAGAGGATGGCAGATCAAACCCATTTAAAAATTCAAGACCTGGAGACAAGTGGTACAAAGAATTTTTAAAAAGGCACCGAGATCTTAGTGAACTAAAACTAAAATAATTTTGCTTTCATTCCGTGAATGTCAACGATTGTAAATATCATGAAGCCGACCGACTGAAGATTAATGAGACGGTCCTTGTCAGATATTCAAACATAACCATCTTTTAAGTGGCTTATATTCACATCACATTTCAGTAATTGGTGCGGAGGCGCTAAACTCGCTTTTGCCTCCTTCTCGTACGGGACACAAAATGGCTACAATCCGCGTCTCTGGCGGTGCCCCAAGGCCACCCTGTTGCCGCGGGGTAAAGTAGTATGGGTATCTCTCTGCCTACCCTCCACGGTTGACATTTGGTATATGGCGTGGCCATAGACCATATCTGCCACTGGGGTCAGGAAGTATGGTTACTTAGTGATGGTGGCCGTGTAGGAAGGCGCACTTTGCCTGAGTAGGTGAAGATGGAAAAGAGTATCCTCTTTTGCTAGCGATGGTGAGGCAGCAGATGTGTGCGAAAGCGTTTTCGTGTAACACCATGGCATTTTAGTTGGTGCAGGTGTACCCACGTGAATTGGTTATGTGTACGTATCCACCCCGTCTAAAAACTATTTAAAATCTTTATATCTTCGCTCTTCATTCTTCTTTAAAACGTACATTAAAAAAAGTCTTGCACTCGCAAGTAATATTACATTCGCCTCCCCTTTTGCCTTCTCTGCACCATCAGCTAGGTATCTGAAAATTTAAAGAAAGTTGCTAAAATCTGCATCTAATTAAAAGATATGCATTACATATATATGTATCATTAAGAAAGTTTATTCTCTTGGGATTGAGGTTATAGAAAAAGTACAGTTGGGTGCAATAGGGATAGCGAAAATTAATGAAAGACCGTTATGTAATAAGTTATGATGAAAGAATGAACGATTAGGAAACTATGAAAGTACTTACGTATACCTCTTTGAGTTAGATTAATAATATAATGTACAAAAATACTTTACTAACCCAAAAAATTTTGTGGTGTGTGTGCGTGCGTGCGTGCGTGCGTGCGTCCGGGCGTGCGTGCATGCGTCCGTGCGTGCGTGCGTGCGTGCGTGCGTGCGTGCGTGCGTACGTTGAGTTGAACAGTACTGGAGTTTAGATAGTTACGAAAATAGAACTAAATACATTGCGAAATGTATTGAAGTCTGCCGAAAAAAAGTCGAAGTTTTCTCCAAAGAAAAAACGCTACGTCAGCTTTCGCTACTTTGTACATGGTTTTGATCATACAAAACATCCAATTTGCAAAGGATGTTTTTTGAAGACTTTTGATGAAAGTCACAAATATCTACAAACGGTATGCGAGAAACTACGAGACAATGGCGGGCATCTTCCTCAGCGTAAACGTCGAGTTGGTAAGTCAATTCCCGATTTCCAGAATTTGAAACCCAGAAGTATTAATGTAATAATAGGTACCTAGGTTATAAA